GATTTGGGACTCATCTGGAATCCCAGTACCTTGAGGCTAAGGGAGAAGAATCACAATTTTGTAGCCAACTACGACTACTTAGGGAACCCTGGAGTTCAGTGCTAGAGCATGGGCTGAGCACAAACAAGTGGGTTTGATCCATAACCCTGAAGGGAAAAAAAGAAAAGAAAAAAAAAGGCGTGGAGTCAACAAGAAAATACAATTCTCGCTGGGCGTTGGTGGCGCACGCATTTCATCCCAGCACTTGGGAGGCAGAGGCCAGCCTGGTCTCTAGAGCGAGTGCCAGTATAGGCTCCAAAGCTACACAGAGAAACCCTGTCTCGGGAAAAAAAAAAAAAAGAAAGAAAGAAAAAGAAAAAGAAAAAAGAAAATACAGTTCTCCCACTGAACCAACTCACCTGGGCTCATAGGGGTCACAGAATCTGGACTGCCAACCAGAGAGCTTGCATGGGACTGACCTAGGTCTTCTGCACATATGTTACAGTTTAGTTTAATGTTCTTGTGGGACTTCTAACAGTGGGAACAGAGCCTATCTCTGACTCTGTTACCTGCTTTTGGGACCTTTTCCTCCTACTGGGTTGCCTCATCCAGCCTTAATAGGAGAGGAGGTACCTAGTCTCATGCAACTTGATAGGCCATGGCTGGTTGACAGCCAGGGGAGGCCTGCCCTTTTCTGAAGCAAAAATGAGGAGTGGGTGGGGTTGGGAAGAGGGGAGGTTTGAGGGAGGGACGAGAAGGAGAGGAGGGAGGGAGGGGAAACTTTGATCAGGCTAGAAAAACATTTTATTAATTTAAAAAAGAAAATACAGTTCTTTGAGTAGGCATCATCATGATTGGATGTAAGGATTGGGACAACTGGAACCCTCTCTCTCACTTCAGTGTCACTCTGCAGAATAAAGTTAAGAAGAAAGTTAGAGCAAGGAAAAGCACACAGAAGCAGCTCCAGAGACTAGATATTCTGTCTGCTGAGCAGGCCTTTCACGGACAGCATGTTCTGAGAAGTGACCAACACCCTTACTGCCCCAAACACTACTCCCGAAGTGGTGTTTATATTGTTTCAACCACAAGGATGTTAGCTTACTGCTGAAGGGAGTTGGAGCTTCACTCCTGGATGAGTAGTCCTTTGTAGAAGCTGAGTCACTGCCGTTGCAGGTATAGACTGGTCTGACTGCCTGACCTGAAGGGTTAGACTCTGACCTCAGTCATCACTGCTTTTCAAGTAGGCTTGTGCTAGGAACTGAGTGGGAGGACCTTGGATGGTCCAGGGACTTAATCATGAACTAAGTTTTGTGACCTTTTCCTGTGGAGATGTAAACCAATGTCTATCCATCTCATACTGACAGCAGACCAAAGGTAATTCCACCAAGTCCAGCTTAGTGATGCAGAGTTTATTGGTTGTTTATGGTGTAGGTCTCAAGGTTACTTAGAGCACGGATGACTCAAAAGCAGCTGCATCTTCTAAAACCCACCCAGCATGGGGGATGACTTTACTAGGCCATATCTTTAAAGCTCGCTGCATGAGTTCTAGCAGGTCCCCTGATTCCAGAGGCATCTCCCTAGCAAATGCTGACTACCTCTTCATCTTTAGGGAGAGGAGGGCATGTAAATCTCAGGAAGTTCAGGGCCTTCCTAAGCCTTGTAAGTTTCATTTATTTTCTGAATTTGTATGTTTCCTTTACTTACTGGATCTTGTATGCTTCTGGCTTCTCTCCTCTCTCTAGAGAGAAGAGCTACACAATAAGTCCTCAGTTCCAGAAGAAGAAAAAAAATTTTTTTGTTTTGTTTTGTTTTGTTTTGAGACAGGGTTTTCTTGTATAGCCCTGACTTTCCTGGAACTCATTTTGTAGATTAGGCTGCCTCAAACTCAGAGATCTGCCTGCCTCTGACTCTAGTGCTAGGACCAAAGGAGTGTGGTACCACCATCTGGTGTGAGAGTTTTAACAAGAGAAGTAGGCATGAATGCATTAATTATTTCTCTGCTTTTTTTTTCGTTCTTTTTATTATCTTATGTGTATAGGTTTTTGTCTGCATGTATGTGTACCACATAAGTGCAGTCCCCCTGGAGATCAGAAGAGGGTACTGAATTTCTTGGGACTTGAGCTCCAGTTGTGAGCAGCCATGAGTATGCTGGGAATCGAACCGTTTCCCTGGAAAATAAGCCAGTTCTCCCAACCACTGAGCCATTGTTCTAGGCCCTCTTTCTGCTCTGGGTCTGTTACTTTGACTGGCTGCTTCACGTTCTTGCCTTGATTTCCCATAATGATGGGCTCTAACCTAGAACTTTGAGTCAAATAAGTCCTCTCTCCCTTAATGTGCTTTTGTCAGGGTATTTACCACACCAGCAGAAATAAAACCAGGACACCAACACAACATAACTCCTTAAAAATTATTAGTAATAGGGCTGTAGAGATGGCTCAGAGGTTAAGAGCACCAGCTGTTCTTCCAGAGGTCCTGAGTTCAATTCCCAGCAACCACATGGTGGCTCACAACCATCTGTTATGAGATCTGGTGCCCTTTTCTGGTGTGCAGATATACATGGAAGCAGAATGTTGTATACATAATAAATAAATAAAATCTTTTTAAAAAATCAAACAAACCAGGGTGGAATGACAGCTCTTTGGATAAAATGTTTGCTTTGTAAGCTTGAGAACTTGAATCCAGTCTTCAGAACTCACATAAAGAAGCTAGGGGTGGTGGTATGTGTATTGTGACCTCAGTGTTGGGAGGCTGATAGTTGGATCTTTGCAATTCACTGCTTAGCTAGCCTCATATACTTGGTGAGCTCTAGGCTAATGAGAAACCGTGTCTCAAAAAAAATGATGTTTCATAGGCTAGCTAGCCTTGAACTCTCCATCCTCCTGTTCAACCTCTGGAACAGCTGATTTTATAGTGTGTGTGTATGTGTGTGTATTGTTGTTCTTGTTGTTGTTTTTCTGCTTTTTGAGATATTGTTATATATCCCTGGCTGGTCTGGAAGTCAGTGTATAGGCCAGGATGGCCTCAAACTTGGACTTAATCTTCCTACCTTTACCTCTAGAGAGCTGGGATTAAAGGCATGCATCACCACAGCTGGCTAGTACATTTACCTAGGAGATAAGAACTAGTAGTCTCAGGATCAGGCGCAGAGTGATTAAGAAACCCATCTAGTCAACTGTTTGAACTTCAACCATGAGTTGAACTTGGTCAAATTCAAAATCTGAGCTATACCAATTACAACGGAGGCTATTCAACATAAAGCATGTTTTAATTTTCTTGGATTTGTATATGATGTGTGAGTGCATGAATGTTCCACCACACTACACAGATGTCAGAGAACAACTTTATTTTTATTTCTTTTCCAAGACTGGGTTTCTCTGTGTACTCCTGACTGTCCTGGAACTTCGATTGGTAGACCAGGCTGGCCTCAAACTCACAGAGATCTGCCTGCCTCTGCCTCCTGAGTCCTGGGATTTAGGCATGTGCCACCAGTGCCCAGCTTGAGGACAACTTTCTTATGTTGGTTCTCCTTCTATGCTCAAACCCCCAGGGATCCAACTCAGGTGGTTAGGCTTGGCTGGCAAGAGCTTACTCCCTAAGCCATCTTCCTGGCCCAATGAAAAAATCTTTGGGGAAGAAAAAGACATGCTTATGTTGTTACAAAAAGGCAAAAGACCTTGACATTTGCTTATTTGTTACTGGGATGGAATCACCTATTACCCCACAATCTAAGATTTGCTGAACATGGGAAATACAAATGGCCAGAATGAAATTTCACTGACAGAAATCTAAGTAGTGTTTGCTCCTCCTGTCTTTCTCTTTTGAGACCTCCCCCTTTTCTAATTTCCTATTTTAGGCTGGGTCTTATAAAGCTCAGCTGTCCTTAAATTCATAATCTTCCTGCCTCTACCTCCCCAGTGTTGGGCTTAGTGGTGTGTGCCATCACCCCTGGCATGGGATTATACCTTTCTGTTCATCCAATTTGGAAATGCTATGATCAATAACCTGCCATCAGTGTCTTGGTGATTTTTCACAATAGTCATTCATTTAACAATTGTCTGATCATTCATTCAAGACCAGACATGGTATTAAGGTAGGCAAAACAAAGGTGTTTTATTAAAATTTGATCATAGCCAGGCAGTGGGGGGCAGGTGTGTACCTGTAATCCCAGCACTCAAGAGGCAGGGGCAGGAAGAGTTCCCGGTCAGCCTGGTCTTGGGAGTGAGTTCCAGGACAGCCAGGGCTACACAGAGAAACTCTGTCTTGAGTATCTCACCCTAAAATAAAAAGATTGATCCTAGTGGGGGTGGAAGAAATATGTTGGGAGGGCACGGCTGGAGCTGAGCAACGTGGAATGGCAGGAAGCAAACTGGAACTGTTGTAGAACAACGACCTACAGCAGGCAGACACAGAGGTGTTGCATTTCAGAGCCTGTAGTGGCCTGGTTGTCACCAGACTGTGGCCCTCCTAAAGCATTAGTTCCACGTGTGCCAAGTCGGATCACCTAGGGCAGGAGTTATTCAGTAACCCATTTGATGGTCACCTCACCCTGGGTCATGCCTTTCCTAAGCCACCTGATTTATCAGGGCCCTCTGCCATGCAGTCACCTGAGGGCCACGCCTCCCTGGCCAGACAAGCCAGCACGTTACGCTTTGTTCCCAGAAACAGGTTTTCATAACGCTGTTCCCTCTCGGCTCCGGCTGTTTTCTCGCCAAGTGCGGAACTCCCGGGGGCGGCGGCGGCGGCAGCAGCAGCAGCAGTTGCCTGACTGCGGCTCTGTGGCCCAGGAAGGGCCTGACCCACGGCCTCCTCAGCCTCCTCCCGGAACGCGGGAGCCAGCACGAGTGGCTCACGGAGGGGACCCTCGCGAACGCACTCCTGATTGGCTGCGCCGAGAGACGTCAAAGGGCGGGCCCCGTGGCGGGGGTAGCGCCCGGCTCCGCGCGTGCGCAGAGAGAGTGCGCTGGACCAAGGGGGAGGTGCCCGGCCGCTTCTCCCGCGTCCGCCATTTTGTTGCTGTGGCTATTGGGAACGGGCTGGGTGAAACGGCCCGGGAGGCGCGACTCTTGCTGGAGAAGGCTGCTTCGTGTGACGGCGAGGGTCGGTGCGGGCTCTTGACGCTGCGGAGCCGGCGGGTTCCAGGACAGAAGTCGCTGGAGCCATCCCTGGGCGCCGGGCAGCTGAGAAGCCCGAGGCGGCCTCTGCTACCGCTCGGCTTCGCCCACCTCGACCCCAGGGCTTTGCCCAGTGTTCCCGGGCTTGCTCTTCCTGTGAGGCGGCCCGGTGCAGGCGGGCGGTGGCGGAGGATGCTGCGGGGCCCGGAGCCGAGAGGAAGGTCCTGACCCAGCCCTCTGATTGCTCCTCGAGGTCTTCCGAGAGGCCCTTCCTCGGCCCCAAAGCCGACAGCGGGTAAAGGCTTCACGAGCAGGCGAGAGCAGCAGACGCCGCCCATCCCCGGACCCAACACCATGTCGTCCGCCAGGTTTGATTCTGCAGACCGCTCTGCCTGGTACATGGGGCCAGTGTCTCGCCAGGAGGCTCAGACCCGTCTCCAGGGCCAGCGCCATGGCATGTTCCTAGTCCGGGACTCCTCTACCTGCCCCGGGGACTATGTACTGTCCGTGTCCGAGAACTCGCGTGTCTCGCACTACATCATCAACTCCCTGCCCAACCGCCGCTTTAAGATCGGGGACCAGGAGTTTGATCATTTGCCGGCCTTGCTGGAGTTCTACAAGATCCACTACCTGGATACGACCACCTTAATCGAACCAGCGCCCAGGTACGCGAGCTCCTGCTGCCCTGCTCGGGCTGGGAACCAGACCCGATGCGGAGGGTCGGTCAGAGATTTAATTTTGGGGGTGGAGGGAGGAGTTGAATTGCTTTCCCTCATTCTAAACCAGAAGGAAGACATCGGATTGGAAGGCCAGTGTCAGGATCTGGGTCACTGGATGAAAGGATGCATTTTTATTTAGACATTTAGTGGTGATTGTATTGTTCAAATGCACCCACCGACACACATACACAGTTTTGTCACTTTAGCTGACTAATACTAATGCATAATTATTATTGTTATTATTATTTATTTTACTTGTTTGGTTTTTCGAGACATGGTTTCACTGTGAAATAATCTTGGCTGCCTTGGAACTCATTCTGTAGACCAGGCTGGCCTCGAACTCAGACTCTGCCTCCCGAATGCTGAGTCTAAATGTGTGCGCCACCACCGTCTGGCTGCAGAATTCTTTTAACATTAAAAAGTATATAGACGTCCTTGAGATTCTGAAGCTAGCCATGGCTCTCTCCTCGAAAATTCTTGTAGTTTACACACCATTTAAGGTTTTAGAACCCCCTGCATCTCAACAGCTAACTGCAGGTTAAGAACTGGCTTGCAGCCTTTGGAAAATCGTTAAAATGAACCGAAATCGTAGGAATTTCAGAATCTGATGCGCAATTTGAAATAGCCCCCCCCCCTTTAAAAAAAAACAACTAGAATTTCAAAGGAAAAAGACTGAGATTATATTTGAGGAAATTTGTACCATCTCTCCCTGGTGGGAAGTATATTTATCTTAATTCTACATTAATTCAGTTTTAGATTTTTGGGGGGTGGGAATTAAATTTAGTGGTTTAACATATACTTTAAAGAAACTGAAGTAGAGCTGCGTGAGAGAGATGCACACCCCTAACCGCCTAAGGAAAAGAGGACCTTGAGTTCCAAGCTTAATTGCGCTATAGCAACAACAAGAAAGTAGACTTCAAAAAGTATTTCACTGCCTGGTATATTTCTAAGCCATTTTCTAAAAAGGTCTGGGGATTGAGTTAGACTTCTCAGGGTGAGCTGACTTCATAGAATTGCTAATGAGGTAATTTGCTCTGAACTTTGAAGATGAAAAGGTACTATACTTAATTAAGGATACCTACTAAAAGTAAAAGGGTTTCTTTTTTAGGATAGAAGAAGTAAAGCTGTGATGGTACAAGGAGTGTAAAGTTAACTGGCAAAATCAATGGAGTTTAAAAAACTGTAGTGAAGGGGCTAGGCTTGATGACTTAGTGAATGAAAGTTGTTTGCAACAAAAGCTTGATGACCTCAGTTTGATTCCCCCAAACCCACATAAATGTGGAAGGAGAGTCCTTTCTTTAGCCTCAGTGTGTGTCCCATGGCAAGTGAGTATCCACACACACATCAATAATTTAAAAAAAAAAAAAGTAAAACACAGAGAAAGTGACTGTAAATAGTAATCTATGTTATGGAGATGAGGACACTGAGAATTCTGAAACATGAGGGTCCTAGTAGCTGGTGGCAGGTGCTGTCAACTTTAATAATTTTGGATAGCTTGGACAAACTTAGGAAGTATAATGTTTGGTAAAGCCAGGCGGTGGTGGCGCATGCCTTTAATCCTAGCACTCCTGGTCTACAAGAGCTAGTTCCAGGACATCCTCCAAAGCAACAGAGAAACCCTGTCTCGAAAAATAAAAAACAAAACAAACAAAAAATAATAATAATGTTTGGTAATATATTTGAGTAAATTTCTTCTCTCCTTTGTGAAAGTGGATTATATTATTGACCTCAGGCCTTTATTAGAACATGCTTGCAACAATGTAACAGGTGTTGGAGAAAGTCTAAGTTAATTATTAGATTCCCCTCAAGGAGGAAAAGTGTGCTGGAGTGGCTTCCTGTTACCTACAAAATCTAATTCTATTAAGTGTGTCTTCTCAGGTACCAATTTTCTGTGTTACCAATGTAATTTCCTGAAATTTTTCTTAGCTCTGCTTGACACACATTCGTATCTTTTGTTTTGTTTTGTTTTGATTTTCAAGACAGGGTTTCTCTGTGTAGCTCTGGAGCCTGTCCTAGAACTAGCTCTTGTAGACCAGGCTGGTCTCAAACTCACAGAGATCCACCTGCCTTTGCCTCCCTCTCAAGTGCTGGGACTAAAGGAGTGGGCCAACACCACCCAGCCCACATTCATATCTTTTCTGTCATTCTTCGTTTCCAAATGAAAACAATAACCAAGTCATTATTCCTAACATAACTATCCCTTTTACAATCACAAAGGCATTATACATTTTAGAATAGATGGCAATGTCTCTTGAGTTATATTCTTAGTATCTCAAAACTTAAATACCAAAACTACTGGTAATCTCTTGATGTTATATTACATGATAAATCGGGGGAAAGCCACAAATACCTGTACAAACACATACTTAACAAAATTTGACAGAAACACCTGTGTCGATTATAATCTTTGTCACTACAACTGGTCACATGGCCTTAGCTGGTATTTATCACTACCTTCCTCCACTACCCATTCTGTATTTCTCCACCCTCAGCAAGCACCTCAGCAGGTCTTGACTTTTCCTGGAAGAGTGACCCATGCCTTCATTCCTCATGGGTCTTTGCCCTTTGCCATCCTGTCTAGATTAGGCTGCTGTAATTTCCCATTGACTTTAATCACAGGACATGGTAGCACCAGCAGACGCCCTAAAGGATCTCCTGCACTCCAGACATAATCTGTCTTCCTTCATTGGGAAGAAGCAATCCAATTTTCCCTTGGTAATCTGGAACAGTCACCCTCTTAATATTGTTATGGCTTTCTTAGCCTGTTGGCTTAAGGGCATCAGAAGCCCACAGTGGCCAGGTGGAAGTCTGACTTTCCAATCCAATGGAATGTTTGTTGTGTCTCCTGGCAGGAGAGCTTCCCCATCTTAAACCAAAACTTCTAGGCCAACAGAACTTAAGGTTGCAGGAACAGGAAGCAAAAATGTTCCTGGTAGGTCACTAGGGGTGAGGGTGAATGGAACCATTTCCTCTTCCACCCCATGAGTCCTGGACCTGTGGATCCTGGCAATAGGAGAAACTGTATCATATATTGGATGATGATTTAAAGCATATACTGCCTTAAGGAGAACCTGCCCCAGCTCTCCAGGTTGCTGCCACCTAAGTGTTTGTTGTAACTGTGTTTTTAAAAGGCCATTCCATCTTTCTGTCAGCCCAGAGGCTTCAGGATAATAGGAAACATTGAAAGACCAGTGGATTCCATGGTTGTAGGCCCACTGTTGTCCTTCTATGGATGTGAAGTGAGTTCTTTGGTCAGAAGCACAACCATGACCACTTGGTTTGTGGGCCAATTGGGTAATGACAGGGATGACTGGGGGGAAAAGACTGTCCACAGTGCAGGTCATCTTGCTTGATTATTGAACTCCTTCTCAGCTGAAGTCACCTTTTGATGAGCATTTAGATGGGAAACATATCTTCACATCCTTTGCCCATTTGGACAGATCTGTATACATCTTCCCCAGATGTCTTTCTCACAGTTTTCCAACCACACTCTAGCCAGCCAGTCTGTAGGCTTCAGCTCATGAATCAATGAACAATCACACATCTGACCATTTCTCTTTCCAAACAAGGTATATGACTATGTGTACTGCCTGACGTTCTGCCCACTATAAAGATTTCCCTTTGCTGGCGTGCATCTTTCAGGATTGTCTCAGAAAGGGGTTGTAATGCTGCAGCTGTCCACTTTAGGTGGTACTTACGTAGTGTTCAGAACCATCAGTAAACAGGGCCCTAGTCTCCTCTCCCTCAGACAGCTGACCATCAGGCACAGCTCATGAGGCTACGGTGCATGCTCAGTAGTAGAGGACATTGTAACAGGAGTTGAAACCATAGGCATTTGGACAACTTCATCAAGTAACTTGCTTGTGTCTTCAGGACCTGCTTGGGACCGATCGTGTATATACCATGTCTATTCAATATTGGACTGCTGCTGTGCATGTCCTCCTGTATGGCTTGATGGGTCCCAAAATACCCAGATCCTAATGAGCAGCTCAGGTCACATGGTAGCCCATTGTAAAGCGTTCAGATTCCACTAAGGCCCAATAGCAGGCCAAGAGCTGTCACTCAAAGGGAGAGCAGTTGTCTGCGGGTGATGGTAGAGCCTTGCTCCAAAATTTCAAAAGGTCTCATCTATGATGCACCTATAGGGCCTGCCAAAGGCTACAAACAGCATCCCTATCTGCCACTGACACCTCAAGTACCACCATAGGGTCTGTTGGATCATATGGTCCAAGTGTAGAGAAGTCTGCATAGCAGTCTACACCCATTGAAAAGCCTTCTGTCCCAGCCCCATTCAAAAGCTAGCAGCTTTCTGAGTCACTTGGTTTATAGACCAGAGTGACACACCCAAGAGAGGAATGTGCTGTCTCCAGAAATGGACCACTAAACATTGTGTTTCTTTCTTGGTGATGGGAGGGGCCAGGTGCAATAACTTATCTTTCACCTTAGACAGAATATCCCAGCATGCCCCACACCACTGGACTCCTAAGAATTTCACTGAGGTAGAGGTCCTTGAAATTTGGTTGGATTTATTTCTCATCTGATGTGCATGTGTTAACAAGAAGTCAACCTCCTTCTCACTTGGTCCTGTCAGCTTAGTGTTGTCAATGTAGTGAACCAATGTGATATTTTGTAGGGAGCCGTCCCTGCATTCTCCATTACAATGATGGCGCCTGCAGGCACTGAATGTAAACAAGATTATTGCGCGCAATATTTTGTTGAAGAGATCTCTTTAAATGAAATGATGACATAAGTCTGCAGAGTTAATATATCCTAATAAAGTAAAACTGTAAATGTGTACCACTGGCCTTGCCAACTGAAAGCAGATTGCTTCTGGTGATCCTTATGGACAGGTACCAAGAAAAAGTCATTTGCTAGATCAATAGCTGCATACCATGTACCAGGAGATGTATTAATCTGCTCAGATACCACATCTGGTACAGCAGCTG